TCACATTCGTTCGAATCGTCTAACTACGTTCAACTCATTTGAAACGATTCGTTGTTCGTTGTTTCACATAGTGTTGAACTATGTTCAACGAATCTCTCTCTAGCTGCTTCGCTCCTCCGCATCCCAAAGCGCGCTGCCCTCCTAGGCGCGCAACACTAAGTAATCCAAGCCAACCCACATTACTGACTAACGGTGGATAATCATATTTCTTAGAGGTACTAAATACAACTCCATGAATGAGCAAAATGAAGGTAGCATTCATTATAAAGATCTCCGGGGAAACCGCTAAAAAAAGATTGAACATGTGAGAGGATCCGAACGAATTCTGCTTTCATTTCCCCCGTATGGAGCACTGAGTTACTGACGTTACGGTCTTCTGAATACTTTGGCCTTCAACGAGTGGAAGGACTTTGAGATTCGTTTCACTCAAAGATATGTATTACAAATGAGTGTAACGATTCGTTTCATTCTGTTCAACGCTTGCAAGGATTCGTTGAACTCACAACTCACATAGTGTAACATAGTTACACTCATTCAGAGGTACGACCAAAGGGAGTCCTGAGTTGAACATAGTTCAACGAAATGAGTTTCACATAGTGAAACGAATAGTTACACTCATTCGACTGATTTTTGGTCCCTTTCGTCCAGTGGTTAGGACATCGTCTTTTCATGTCGAAGACACGGGTTCGATTCCCGTAAGGGATAGGTCGAGGGACTCCCTTTGGTCGTACCTCTTTCAAATGAGTTGAACATAGTTCAACGAACAACGAATAGTGAAACTCATTCCTCTCGCATGGGAGGGGGGTTGGCTGATGTCGGGTAGCTTAGAGGACCCATGGTTGACGTGTTTCAACTCCGATCGTGCTATTTGATTCATTAGTGCGAAATGGCCACTTCACTTGTTTTACGAATTGACCGCCCTATCCTACTATGATTAGATCGCCCACGGGCTAAAACCATCGCCATCGCCCTAGACCCCTACAGGATCCTACCCGACTTCCGCTTAATAAGTTTCGATCCCGGTTTAGCTGGATATGGGAACTTCCCCGGACCCTCCCATTTCATTTGCTTATGGTACGCAATCCGCCTATTACCACTTATCCAATTCCATGTAAGGAAACTGGCCTGGCCCTACAAACCAAGGAAATGTATTTCTACCTGAAATGGGTAGGTACGAAGAACAGAGATTCGTTTCACTATGTGAAACTCATTTCGTTGAACTATGTTCAACTCA